ACGCTATATATTGCCAGTCACGGTCGATTTAAATTACTTTAATTGTTATTCTATATACTGGCGAAAGAAATTTATTATTCTGTTTAATATGTATGATTACCCATTTGCACGCCCCTGACGGATCTAAAAATGTTTCATCGGTTCACTGGAAAATGGTTTTTAATCAACATGTACGCGTACCAATATTGAATATCTCTAAATGTTTTCCAGATTTTCGAAATTTTTATATTTTTTTCACAATTTTGACACTGTATTTTAAAAACGAAGCAATTTAGGGCATGTGTTTATATATAGGACCTTTTCTTCCTAAAATAAGCCACGGAAAGTGAATAATTGAAACAATAGTGAATAAATAGGAAAAATAAAAAATTAAAAGAAGTAAAGATTAAAATTGATAGTTGATTATAGGTCCGTTAATAGTATATATAATAATAAATGGTATCAGTAATAGGTATGGCGCCGCGATAATCGGGAACCTGTTCGTTTGCTAAATCGGCGATTCGCGGATATGAGCTTTATCGTTATCGTGCCGCTGATAAGAAGAAAACAGACGCGCGTTACAGTTTTATTCGCATTACCGATTGCTCGTGCTGTATTTGGGATTCCGATGTGGCACCTGTGGCACACGCGCGCGTAACAATTCGCTTGAAGAAATACGTAACGCGTTGCGATATGTCTCATAATTTACGTAGTACAGTCTCGATCAACGCTTGTAAGAAGTCGAATGAGCGATCGATATAGATAGAGCGCAAATCTAAAAAAAAGATATCCGAAAAGAGATGTTCGATTTTAATCACGATATAGTGTGTGTACATGTATGTATTTCTGTGTGTTAAATATTTTGTTATTTAATAAAATGAAGTTTCGTGCATCGTTGCTGTTTGTTCTGACGGTGAATCTATACCTCATGAAGATATGTCTGAGTGTCGATACGAAAATGTTGAGCTTGTGCACGTCTCAAAGTACTTGTGAGAATTGTTTAGAAGCGAGTTTGGCTTGCGCCTGGTGCAGTGATTGGGTAAATGTTTCATATTTTGAGAATGTTATAGCATCGAAGTTTCTATTAACACGTTGAATACCGTAATGGTCACTCGTTTAAAATACATTCAGCGAGATTTTGTATAATAACTTGCGTATTGTCTCAATGAAACAACTTTACTTTATCGTTGTAATAGTGGATATTAACATTAATAAATAACATTGATAATAACATTGATAACATTGACATGTTAATAAACTAATACCATATATTTTTAACAAATCTATTAATAAATAAGTAAAATGTATATACATGAGATAAGACAAAATGACGGGAGTCTTAGTATCAAAGATAAAGCATTTTTGAAAAAAAGTTGAAACAAAAGTTACCTACATTTTTTTCAGCGAAGAAATATGATACAAGCAAAAAATTTTCATAGCATGCGATTTAATGAGATATCAGCGTCATTGATATTTCTTTTAATGAGATAAATATAATTTTTTGTATATTTTACTTCTACAAATTGTATACATCTTTACGTTTTTTTACATTAATTCTTTCATTTCATTATTTATTGTCTTATCATTTCATCTCATTCATCTGTCCTTATATTGGTGCATTAAAATATTGAAGTAAAGTCATTGAGATACTTATTATGAATACTTTATTAATGCTTTATTATGAATATTTTATATTTTTATGAGATATTTTATATTTTTTATGTCAAAATATATGTAGGAATAAGATAAATCGTAAACTATTGCTTCTTATTGTTAGTTAATGTCAGACTTTATTTATGAAAACACTTCATTTCCGACTTGAGGTCCTCGCATCTTTTTCTCACTCTGCGTACACTCTTTAATATAGTATTCCTTCTAATTAACTTTGCGAAATTAAGCGATTGTTGTATAACGTTCAACATGTTAAGTTTTTCTTGAAGCTTCGACACGGGATGATTTAATTCATTGAGACGCGTAACCACAACATGACTTGCTTGTTTTTCCGCAATTGTACTTTAGTCATACTCAAATTCCACGTACGGCAAACCGAGGTGCAACGTGCCTGAGCGTCTGCGGGCGTTTGGCTGTCCGAATGTGGAAATACGCGCGGCCCCACCGGGATCACTTCGGGTGTTGACGAACATGGATTTCCAGGATGTCTCCAATGACCGTACGGTACAGCCGGTGCAGCTGAGACCGCAGAAGCTGCGACTCAGGATGAGACCGCGTTCCAACCAAGTGGTGACGCTTCAATATAGACCGGCTAAGTAAAGATCTCAATTAATATAAGTATAATAAAGTAGTGAAAACTTTAGTTATTGATACCATCGATAGGGAGCCAGTTAATAAATAATAAGTACGCGTTTGTAAAGTAATTTTATTTCTTTACTCCTGTGACATTGGATAAATTAATTGCATTAAAGGGTGTATAAGGAGAGTAGGAAATGTTAAGAATTGCATAAAATTTAAGACATAAACTCTTTTATAAATAATGTTAGGTTGTGAATCTTTCATCGGTTAGTCTTTGAGAATTTTAGACAAAGTTCAAGATTGTTTAATGTCATTTTTATGTCACAATAAAAGTTTTATCGTAATTCACGTAATTTTCTATGTGTATATATAGCGTAGCTTGAAGCCACTTGAGACGTACTTGAGACATGACATTAAAAGAAATCTACTTATTGTATTTTGTGCTTAGTTTTCGTTGTCTTACTTAAGGAGGCTCTTACCTCGATCATAAAACGACAGATCTTTATGAAATTAAATTATGTTGTAAAGTGAACCACAACGAACCGATGCCCAAAACTTTAGCATAGGTTGACGATAAAAATTTTAAAAATATCAGTATTGAAATTCGCATTTTTAACACATGGCATATGGTAAACATTAAAATTTTTACCGGAAGTGACGTGTATTTTCTTGGCAAGTTTGCGAGCCAGGTAAACAAAAAACTAAGAAATTGTAGTTAAAATAATAATCTTTCTAATGATAAGAAGAAAACTTGGTGTTGACGATGAGTTATAAAAGATATTGTAGTTTTAATATTTTTTTTTTTTTGTGTTGCTCCTATCGGGTCAGGAGCGTAGACGCCTTCAGTCCTGCCTTTGGACTATGTGACGCATATATTGAAGAACTAATAATAATTCTGTTAATCTTTTTTACAAAATTGTAAATCACTCCAAGCTTGAACCAGTCTTCTCGCTGTATTATAACCTCAATAGCCTCGGTTTCCGCAATGCCGCGCTTCACCAACTCCTCGTCCATCTTCTTCCTCTGTCGGTCGTATATACTGCACTGCCAGATCACGTGATTGATATCCTCCTTCTCGTGCCCACATTCACATTCCGACGAATCGATAAAACCTTTTCTTGCCAATGACTCTCCTAAATTGTAATGATTGGCTCGAATTCTATTTAC